ATTTGCTTCTTGTGAACTTCTGTCCTATCATAAACTTGTCAAATCGCTTATACCACTACCTCAGAGATTGCTTCAATCCGTACAACGATTTTTCTAATTTGCACACCTTCTCTTCTTTTTCAGCAACTTTGAATCCATCTGGCTGAGTCATGTAGATTTCCTCATCCAAGTCTCAATGTAAAAATGCAGTTTTTACATCCATCTGAACTAGTTCCAAATTCAACTGCGCTACCAAAGCCAACAAAATTCTGATGGAGGAATGTTTTACAACTGGAGAAAATAATTCGTTATTATCAACTCCCTCCATTTGAGCGTAGCCTTTAGCCACCAATCTTGCTTTGTAGCGGATGTTATTCTTATCAGGAAATCCATCTTTCTTTGCATATACCCACTTGCACCCAATTGTCTTATTTCCCTTCGGAAGACTAGCTAGTTTCCACGTCTGATTCTTTTGAAGGGATTGCATTTCTTCATTCATGGCGATCCTCCACTTTTTATGTTTTGAACTTTGGACTGCTTCATTAAAAGTGGCAGGAACGTCATCAATTGCAATTGGTGATACAAAAGAGACCATATCAACATAACGAGCAGGTTGTCTAATGGTCATCTTTCCCTTTCTGAGTGCAATTGATTCATGTTGCTGTGGATGTTCTTGGGTCTGAACCTCTTCTTCATCTGACTCTTCTTCTACCATAGGAGAGTCAACATCAGTTTCTTTACTAGCTGGGACAATTATGCTTCCTTCAAACTCCACCTGTTTGGGAGTTCCACCTGTTTGCTCCAATTTTTCTGAAGTCACATTTTCTCAACATGGTAGATTCATCAAAGGTAACATCCCTGCTGAAGATTATTTTCTTTGTTTCTAGACACCAAAGACGATAACCTTTCACACCAGAGGTGATCCCCATAAAGATCACCTTCTTTACTCTTGGATTCATCTTTGACTCCTTAACATGGTAATATAAAGTGGAACCAAACACATGTAAGGAATCATAATCTGTAGCAGGTTCTCCAAACCATTTCTCTAATGGTGTTTTACCACCAATAGCAGTCGATGGTAAGCGGTTGACAAGGTGACAAGCATAGACCAAAGCCTCATCCCAAAATTCTTTGCCTAACCTAGCATTAGACAATACGCTCTGCCACCCCATTCTGTTGTGGTGTATATCTGATAGTGAAGTGCCTGACAATACCTTCTTCTTCACAGACTTTTAGAAATGGATCATTTTTGTACTCTCCACCATTTTTTGTACGGAGACGTTTGATTTTTCTGCATGTTTGAGTCTCCACCATCTTTTTCCATTTAAGGAAAAACCTAGCACCTTATCATTTGTCTTAATTGTATACACCCAAACTCTCCGGGAAAAATCATCAACAAAGGTGACATAATAGTGTGTTCCTCCTAATGAAGTTGTCTTGGAAGACCTCCATACATCTGAATGAACATAATCCAAAATACCTTTAGTATCATGGATTGTTGTTCCAAATTCCATCATCGTCTTCTTCCCTTTGATGCAATGCTCACAAAAAACTAGTTTGCAAGCCCGAGCACCCTTCAATAATCCTTGATCTATCAGCAATTTCAAGGATTTTTCACCAACATGCCACAAGAGCATATGCCATAACCTGTGCCATAACCTGGTTTCTTCTAACTCCTGTTCATCAGTAGAAGCTGCCACTGCTGCTATCCCAAAAATTGTACTACCCAGAAAGTAATGCACATTGTTTCTTTTTCGGATTCCCTTCATTATCACCAGTGCACCAGAGATAATCCTCATAATCTCATATTTTGCCCTCACTTCTAAACCTTTTGACTCTAAGGTTCCCACAGAGATGAGATTTCTCATTAAATCTGGTACATAATAGACATCTGTTAAGGTTCTGATTGATCAATCCTGATTCCTCAAGCGAATTGAACCAATCTCAAGTGTGTCAAGAGGGGAATTATTTGCTGTGTAGATAATTCCACCTTTTAGTTCTTTAAAATCAAAGAACCATTCTCTATTGGAGGTCATATGGTTGCTACAAGCTGAATCTAACAGCCATGAATTGGAACAGATGGTTGATGGCGTAGCAACGAATGCGAAATCTGAATCTGCATCATCATACTCGACCACATTTGATTCTGAAACAACCTTTCCCCTTTCAGGTTTGCCTTTATTCTTTAGCCTGGGATATTCTTTCTTCCAGTGCCTTTTTTCTCGACAAAAGGCACATTCATCTTTGCTCAATTTGGACTTTGACTTCGATCTCCCTCTCCTTCCTTTATTCTAACTCTTCGAACGACCTCTAACAACAAGAGCTTCTTCTTCGACACTTGTGTTTTCTTGTTTGTTTTTCTTTCTCAATTCATAACTATACAAGGCAGCAGTTACTTCACTAAGAGACACATCAACCTTCTCATGAAGTAGAGTAGTTTCAAGATACTCAAACTCATCAGGAAGTGATCCCATCAACATCAGAGCCAGATCTTCGTCTTCAAAAGTCACGTCCATATTCATCAAATCAGCCACCAGCTGATTAAAGCTAGTAATGTTATCTAGTGGTACCTGGTACATAGTTGAAGCGGAACAATCTCCTTTTCATGTAAAGCTTGTTCTGACCGCTTTTCTTCAAAAAATTCTCCTCTAGTGCCTTCCACAATTTACTTGCAGAAGTTTCCTTAGAAAATGCATACTTCTTCTCTCTAGAAAGACACGATCGAATAGTACCACATGTCAATCTATTGATCATCTTCCATTCTTTCTCCTCAACATCATTTGGTTTCTCTCCTTCAATAGCAATGTCTAGACCCTACTAAAATAGGGCATCTAAACCTCACTTTGCCACATGCCGAAATGACCGGTGCCATAAAAAATATCCACTGCAAATCTAACATTTATCACAGCATTTCTTGCCAAAATTGAAGATGAAGAAGTTGTTGACGACGATGTAGATGGTTTTGTGCCGTCTGTTATTTCTGCTACAAATTCTATTTAATAGCTGTCAATGCGGAATGTCAATTAGCCCAAGGAAATTTTTTTCTGATGTGGAAGATCAGCCTAAGCCGCAACCACAGAGCATACTAAAATAAACCAAGAGCTCTGATGCCAATTGTTGTGGAATTCGGGTTAATTTCCACCAATAATAACAAATTCACATTGAAAACTATTATCTAGGTGACTAGTGTGAAAACGATTGTACTAAAAATCACCCCAAGGTAGATTCCCAGGAAAGAGTGGAGGGGTCACAATAGTCCCTCTTAAAACCCACTCTCCTTAGACAGAACTACCAAGACAAGTAATTTTAATAGGACAATAATTAACAACAACTATACCCGACAATAGCTATTAAATAGACATAAAAGTGAACACCAAAATTTAACGAGGTTAGGCCAAAATTATGCCTACGTCCTCGAAAACACTACTAAAATAATATTTCACTAATAGAGGAAATATTACAAAGAGAGAGAAAGAGTACAAATAGCCTTTAATATAGAAGAAGACTTATATTTGTGGGATGATAAACTAAGGAGGATGAGGGCTCTATTTATAACAAAAGAATTTCTCCTCCTCCTTATACAAAACAATGTGGGATTCAAAATTTTCTAAAAAACCAACATCCAAGTGGTTCGAGAGTGATCATCAATGAAGGAAATAAATATCCAGACCCTTTACTATTTTTTTTTAATCTTAGAAGGGATCCAAATGTCGCTATAAGGAAAAAGGATGAAATGGTTCATATTTGGATGGAGGCTAGGAGGTTCTGGTATGCTTGGTAAATTGGCAGATGCCATATGTAAACGATTTGACACTTCTATTAAGAACTAAATGCGGAAATAACCTTTCAAGATACACGAAATCGGAGTGTCATAACCCGAAGTTCCATAATATTATTTCATTTGTTGTAGGACTGAATATGGAAAGAGATTGAAAAGTACAACTTGATTGAATTTGTCTTTTTGGAAGTATTTGGTCTCGAAGTAAATAGAGTCGACCACACAACCTAACACTACTAATCACCTTCTCTGAGTCCTACATCTAGAAGTAATTAATAGAAATTTGAGTAGAATTTAGTAGAACATCTTAAGTCACTAGATAATTTGCTAATATATATTTGATGAAGCACTGTGAAACTTCAAAATAGGCTTATATCATCTGTCATACAGTCAGAAGCCCCAGAATCGATCATCCAAGTGATGAGATTATTATTGGCAGAAGTATATGCAAAAGAAAGACTATCTTCATTTATTGCAACGACCATTGTTTGACCAGTTATTGCTGTCATCTATCCAAAGTTGTCAGTTAAGATAGTTTGGGATGAATTTTGATCAGATTGTGAACCGACTTCAGAGTTTGTAGAGGTATTCATTTTCTAGGTTTTTGTGGATCGACAAAACCTAAACGATTGATAGCAAGTAGAAAGTAGGTATTTTGGAAAAGAGAATTTTGATTTATTCTCTTATTTTCTGATGATAAATTGTATACAAAATAATCTGTTTATAGTTTGAGTATCTATAGATTTACTATGACTAAAACACATCCTTATCTTTACTTAGATAAGATAAGTCGGACTGCATGTAAAGATTCTAAACTACTAACTCCTCTACACAACAAAATAAAATAAAGAGAAAATAACATCAGTGTAGACTATCGCAACGAATTTGGAAAATTGCAACGAATTTGGAAAATCGCAATGACAACTGTAGACTATCGCAACGCGAAATGAAAAATCGCAACGCGATTTTCAACTATCGCAACGCGATTTTCAACTATCGCAACGCGAAATGGAAAATCGCAACGCGAAATGCAACGCGAATTTGCGATAGTGGAGATCGCAATGCGAATTAGAGATCGCATTGCGATTTTGTTGGTCATTTTCGCAAATCCAAAAAAAGTTGGTCAAAATCGTATATTATCTGGGATTTTTGGTCACTGAGGTTATTTTCTCACGTTTATAATATTTTATGCGACCTTGTTATATAAATTACACATACTGATGTTGGATTTTTTTTTAATTAGCATGAAATCTGTTATTGAACGCTACAACGAGGCTAAAGAAGAACATCATCAATTACTGAATCCCGATTCCCAAGTCAAGGTAAATTATTCCTTCAATTTAGTTCCACATATTCTATCTTGTCTAATAATGATCGTTTCCATATCGCTTATATAATACATTTCTTTTCACCTCTTCTCACTTTTGGTTACACTAGAGGTTAGAAAAATCGTTAATCCAAGAATAAAATAAAAACATAATGATAATAATGTTCAAATATCGGTACAAAATTAAAGATTAAAACGAGTTTATTCTGTCATAGGATTGTTAGAAGTATAATAATCTGGGACCACAATCATACCTGAGACAATAAAATAAATAAAATTAAACTTTATTAAAAAATAATAAAAATTAGTATAGAAAGAAATATTGTATCTGATAGAGTAATCGATAGGAAACAAGTCGAGGTCTGTTGTTACATAGTTTCCATAAGACATATTTTCGGCCACTTCTTTAGTGCTCGAGATTATCGGTCGTTTGTCTCTCAGGATACAACAAGTAGATAATCAGCTATAGTAGCACAATTGTAGAGATCACGAAATATACTCTTTCATTTATCTATCACCGAAAAACTAAAAGAGATTTTTTTTTCAAAGTTGTTTCACATTATTAAACTGTGAAAGCTTCTTAAACTTGTGTTTAACCTAGAAGGTTATCACAATATTTATAGGAGATTCTCAAAGAAAAATCAATCATTCCAAAATTACAATGTGGTATTCTAATCGAATATAAATTTGTAATAATATATTCATATTTTAATTGAACATAAATTCATAAATAATATATTTGTATTTAGTCAAATATATATTTATAAATAATATATTCATATTTCAATTAAATATAAATTTATAATAACATGTTCATATTTTAATTGAATATAAAAACTTAAATAACGTAATATTATCTTATTAATATTTGAATTTTAAAGAATTCACATAATATCATTTTAATTTAAAATATTCAAATAGATATGTAGGAAAATTCAATTATCAAATTTATCAAGTTTCACGAACCAGGCGACCTCGGTGGTAAAGGAATTGTTTTTATTCCTTGCGGTTCTGGGTTCGAGTACCATGAATGACAGGGGTGTGAGTGTTCAATGTTGAGAACTATCTATGATCATATAATGCTTGATACTTACCCCCAAATTAATAAAAAAAAAATCAATGAATTCAACATATTTTTCTAACAATCCCCCACATGAATGAAATTGATGATTTTATCAAAACATTTTGACTCGATGTGATGATAGACTCTACGATTGATAGTTGCATAGGATGGGTTGCTATCCTCCTTTAAACATTCCCTTATGATAGTATATTTACTTTACTCGCTAACCAGTAGACATGATTTCCTTGAATTGTTATGTCATTTGTGTAAATGTTGACATACTTCACATAACTACCTCAATGATAAGAATTTTAGTTCTCAGGGGTATGTCCTTAAAATTGTGGACATCGTCTGATTCTACAAGAGTTTGAAAGAACTATGCCTAATATTCTCCTTGAAGCGGACCCGCTTCACTCTCACATAGGTGACTTATGTTGCTCGACTCATCGAAGCACACAACTATGATTAAAAGCTTTGCTTAGCCTATACCACTTTAATCACTATTTATATCATAGGAACAGGCTTGGGATGAAAAACCTCCACAGTGACCATACCCGATTTATGCAATTAAGTTGTCCTTTTGAATTAGATTATGGGATCTCCAGTCAACTAGGTAGGGTTTTACTTTACATAATGCATTTAAATTCTATGAGCTTTAGTCACATTCCTTTAGATGTTTTCTCAACTTGATCTCGATTTAACCCATTAGTTAGCGGATCTGCAATGTAATTTTTTGATCTTGCAAAATCAATAAAGATAACTTCATTTGAGATCAATTGTCTAACGGTATTATGTTGATGACGCATATGTCTCAACTTACCATTATACATTAAATTCTATGCTAGTCATAGTATATGCATATTGGGGGAACAAGTTTCAGTCATTCAAGAATATCCTTTAAGAAATTCTAAAGTCATTCAACTTATTCTTTAGAAATGTTTAAAGCTACAAACTCATATTTCCTAGTGGATCTCATTATAACCTTTTTCTTGAGGATTTCCATGATACGACACATCCTCTCAAAGTGAATACATATCCACTCGTATCTTTAGTATCTTGAATATCAAATATTAAATTAGCATTGGTGTATCCTTCTAAGACAGAAGGATGCAAAAAAATATAATTCATCGTTTAGGACCTTTCATTTGCTTTGGTAATATGGTCATTACCTTCGCAAGACACCCCCCACATTTTCAAGTGTTTGTACAAATGCTTTCGACTTTTTCATAACTCGTATGGTGTCTTATCATTTTTTTTAGGAAACTTGTTTAAAAGATAATTAGTTGACAGAACAATTTCTTCTCTTCCCACATGTTTTGTGACAACCTAGAACTTCCAAGCGTTGCATTATTATTTTTTAGAGTCCGATTTTTTGTTCGATTACTCCATTTGATTGAGGAGAGTATAACGGTGTTACTTTGTGAATGATATTATTTTATGAATAATATTCATCAAATGGTTCAACGTATTCACCACCATAATCATTTCTTACCATCTTAATTTTTTTATTAAGTTGGTTTTCAATTTATTGTTTATAGAGAATAAATTTCTCTATAACTTTGCTTATTCTCTTTTAGCAAATAAACATAACAATATTTTTTCTATCATCAATGGAGGTAATAAAATATTTATTCTCTCTCGTTTGTGTCACTATTACAAATTTTAAGAATTTGGTCGCTAAAATTTCCTTAGTGCCAATATTTTCCGTTTCGTATTTATGGTCTAATGTCATCCATAATTCTTTGTCAATTTTATGGATATTATACACTTTATACAATGTATCCAAGAATCCATTCATGATGTAGTTTCAGTATAGGAAGTTAGAATACTCCCAAACTTCAACAACAATGAATGTGGTAAAAACATTTACCTTATCTTCTCTAATAAAAAAAGAGAGGATTATTTGATATTTGATTCAATTCTATTTGGCCAAATATAACAATATTTTTTGTTTTCATGTCTTGAAATTCTATCCACAAAAATTTTACAAGTTTATCATTGTGAGTCTTGGCCACTGAAAATCATGATTTTGTTTAACACACGAAATTAAAACTAATAATAATTCCAATAATAATTCGAAAATAAATTCTGATTTATTCTATCAACAAAATTTAGTTAGAAACTAAAGTTTTGAAACAAATCAATAACAAAGTTGTTACTTTTAAATGATTTCTATTATAAATAGTAATCAAATAAATTTTGTTAAAACTTCGATTGATTTTAAACACAAAACCAAAAATTCTAATAAATAGAAAATTAATTCTCGTTTATTTTCGATTTTGTTATATGACAAAATCAAAATTCTGAAACAAAATTATTAACTGATGTTACTTCAACGACAATTTATGTTAAACAGATTTGTCCACTTTGAGATTAAGCAAATCTGTTGAAACGACATGATAAATGCTGAAAGCAAATTTATTTGCCATCTCATTTTTACCAAGATATATGAACCTTCTCAAATTAAAGAAAGATAGAAGAACGATTTTCGAATAATATAAAATAAAAGGAAATATTAAAAAAATTGCTTACCTAATTTATTTCTTGATCATCAACTTCTTTATGTCGATTAAAACTTGAATCATCAAAAGTCAAGGTGTGCACGTAAAGTACGCAACCACAAAGATCAATGTGTGTTATCAATGACTTTGGTATACTAGTTGTCTTATCACGCTACCCTAATTTTTTGGAACAAGCAAAAAAGTTTTGGAATACAATTATTAGAATCTCTACATAGAAATTAATGGAACTAAGTCTCATATTAAAAATTAAATACAAAATCATTTGTTGGAATTCATAATTTATAATTGATGAGAAACTTATTTTTTGTATAAATTTCTCTTGATTTTAGCCTAATATTCGTTTTGCCGAATTTGTGGCGCTTTCCTTATACACAACAAAGACTAAACTCAAAAGAATATATATCATCTCGGAAAAAATAAGAATAATTTTTCTTATGATTTTTAGAAAAATCGTTAATGCGAGAATGAAATAGAAAAAATAATGATAATAATATTCAAATATCATTATAAAATTAAAGATTAAAACGAGTTTACTCTGTCTTAGGATTATTAGAATTATAACAATCCAAGATCATAATCACAACTAAAGTTATAAAACAAATGAAATTAAACTTATTAAAAATAGTAAATTTTAGTATCAAAAGATATACTCTATCTGATAGATTCATCGATCGAGAACTACACAATTTCGTTCAGAAAGATTTTCGCCCACTCCTTTGGTGATCAAGATCGTTGGTCGTTTGTCTCTCAGGATACAACAACTTGATAATCAACTACGATAGCACAATTGTAGAGACCAAGAACTATACTCTTGCCTTTACCTACATCCGAAAAACTAAAGGAGAGAAACTTTTCTGAGTTGTTTCACGTTATTGAATTGTAAAAGCTTCTGAAACTTAAGCTTAACCTAGAAGGTTAGCACAATATTTATAGGAGATTCTCATAAGAAATACAGTCATTTCAAAACTATGATACCATATTCATATCAAATATAAATTCATAAAAACATATTCAAATTTTAATTGAATATAAATCCTTAAATAACATAACATTGTCCTATTAATATTCAAAATTTAAAAGATCCACATAACATCTTTTTAATTCATAATATTCAAATAAATAAGTCATATTTAAGGAAAATTCAATTATCAAATTGATCAATGAATTCAACACATTTTTCAAACACTAAGAGAAATGTGTTATGTTTATTATCAACGTCTTTTATATAATGAATAATATGCTTAAAATATGAGTTTTCGGCTTTCTTTCCATTGGTTTTCACCCTCCTCACTCTAGGCTAAGAGGTTCTCGAGTTCTTACCAGAATTATAGTATTAAGTACATAACAACCTACGTAATTAGGACAAACCATATAATCCAAAATTCGTATTTGAACTTTCTTGGAAGTATG